TGCATGTCAAAATAAGTAGATTTGTAAACAATTCCCTACCTAAACTATTTATAAAAGATTTATATTATAAAAAATATATCAAAGGTATATAAACGTCCGGCCAGACTACTGATGTATGAACAGTTGTTGAAAGCAAACAAAGAACTTTTTACTCAACAAATTATTATAGTATATTATATATAGTAAGTATTCTTCACTCTGAGTGAACGTGTCAGTATTGGATTCCTACTGTTAAACCAAATAAGTTCTTAAAGTGGTATGTTACAACTTCAAAGCAAGCTGATGTAACTGTTAACATGCTGTGTGCTACATCACTGATTGGCTGCGATGCAAATCTATACACGCATTTACTAATTCGTGAGAATAAACAAGTGAAGAAAAATCTTAACTGAAAAAAATGAACTGACACAATAAAATTTAGACACAGTACGCGTAATGCAGTGATGTTGAATTCTCCCATTTTATTTCATATTCCCACTAAGTTGGTGTGAATGCATATTTACAAAGTATTAATAAAAATTTAACACTTCGTAAAGAGTTTTGTTTCCGTTATTATTAAGTCTTATATCAAAGTTGCTTATTTGATTTAGGTCTATTTTTACTTTTCTTTGTAGAAAAATGTATCTAAAGTTGATATTTGTGCTTGGATTTGCTTGTTCGGTCTCATCAAAACCAGTAGACTCGTGCCTCTTTACAGAATCTGAGCATTGGTTAATCACATTGGACAGGCTACACCAATCGTTAACCAATGTTGACCAGGTAAGTAGATGAGAGGTCGCAGGTTCGAATCCCATCAGATGTAGTTTATTGCACAATTTATATATTTATTTATACATATGCGTTATACATATATATATATCTGAAAAATCATTTTAGTTATATATATTCTAATACAATAAAGTAATACTTATATTCATTTTATATTCAGAGCAATTGTGATTCGCGACAATGTAGTTTTTCCTTCCAATCGTTTCTTCAGCCTACTCAGGTGAGTCCAGTTAATATTTTTTATTAAAGAATACAATATATAAATATATATTACCATATAACATATAATAATAATAGTAATTACATTGTATGTGTATTGGTGTATGTGCATGTATTATTAAAATTATATTAATAATCAGTCACACATATATATAACATTAAATGCAGATACTCCTAAGCGCTTAACAACGACGTAATTTAAGGATAGTTTTTATAACAAAAAACAGAAAAGTAAATAGTAATACTGCAATGATAATGATAGACGTAATAACAATACCGTATTTATTATGAAATAATGTAATTTCGTGCGCCCTCTTGAGTCTGTAAACTTATCATGGTACCTGAATTGAATTACCTTGCATGAACGCACGAAAAATACAAATATATTTTCAATGAACGCGTGCAGCTTAGAAACTTGTTAGTATAACTTCTCTTTTATATCATATCATGATGTTCATTTCTGTATACTTAAAAGGGGTCGACGTACAGACAAACTCTCAACTTCGTCACTAATACAACTGAAGTCTTCAGTCCCTGGTTCGACCAAACTAGTACCATTTCAGACCAAATAGAAAGCGCCCTCGAATCATTGAAAGATCAAGTGAGACTTGTTTGATTATACAGTATTTGTTTATTATAATAAAACTTTAAAAATAATAATTACGAATGACAATACATTTCATAATGCAACACTTATATTTCTGAATGAAATTAACAACTTCTTCTTGAACAAAACTGTATTACTATGGGCAATGATTAAGAAACCTACATTTTGTTTTCTCGAACAGTTAGAAGAATCGTCTACAAATTGTTACCAAACTGGTGAGACACACCAAGATATATTAAACAGTTTTCAGGTAAGGACTAAAGCACTTGTCTATTCCATTAAGCTAAGCCAAGAGTCTTGACCTCAGGACTGTTGGCAGGAAGGATAGGGGCACCTGGGAAAGACGCACCACTCTCTGGATCAGTAACTGATCAATCTTGCTATTGTAAAGATAAAGTTTGCATTAGTTATTTAATGT